ACCCTGTCTCAAAACAAAACAATAGAAACAGCCTTCCAAGTACATTCATGGTAATGAACATTTTTAGTGTGGGTGTCGCTGTGGGCTAAGTGCAGTCTCTGAGTTTGACTGCTTTTCCTCACTGGCTGTGACCAGCAGTGGGCTGCGTTAGACCACAGTACAGTGTTGCAGCAGAGAAGGGATGAAGTGCTGTGGACAGCACCCTGGCTCCTTCCACTTCACCCTGTTTGTTGGGGGATCCCCACCATGACCTTAAGTCTGTGCCCCTTGGTAGGCAGGAGGGAACTCTCACCATACTCTCCTGTCTGACAGGTTCTGTGCTGTGTTCTCCCAAGCAGTCTTAATCAGGGCTATCACTTGATATCACAGAGCCATTGGAGGAAGTAACTTGCCTGAAAGTCTTAGGACAATGGATCCCATGTGCCTTTGCCGGGACCTAACTAATCTCTGCTTCCATGCAAATAGCCAGATGGTCACAGTCTAGGACTCTATCTTGAAGTAAGGGAGAAGCCCTTTCCTGTCTTGGTGGTAGCTCCACGCTCTCTGGTATTGCAGTGCACTGGGTAATGGCTCTCTGGGTCTGTCTCTCCACAGCCTTATGACAGTCTGCCTACCTCACAGACCTGCTTCTTCCAGCTGCGACTGCCCCCCTATTCCAGCCAGCTGGTCATGGCTGAGCGCCTGCGCTATGCCATCAACAACTGCCGTTCAATTGACATGGACAACTACATGCTCTCGAGAAACGTGGACAACGCAGAGGGCTCTGACACTGACTACTGACCGCTGAGGGTGCTGTTGCCTCTCCTCAGCAATGCTCACTTCCGAGTTGACGTTGATAGACTTTTATGGTAACTGCATAGATGTTTTAGGAACATAAACTGACATAAACAGTGGCCACATTTAGTTACTTCAAATGAAACAAAGAAATTAGATGTTTTTATTTTTCTGTGATTGTACAAAAACAAAAGCAGAAAGTGCTCAGTCAGGTTTCCCTCTGTTTTTCGGTCACTTTGGATAAGTTTGCATGGAGCCATTTTGGTGCATTTTCAGTTGGGAATGATACATTTTTGTAAGCCCACCCAGTGAACATGAAATTGTACATTGTGTATAATTGTTCATTAGAAAGGACAGTTTTACATGAATATTCATATATTTATTTTGTTTTAGTTTGATTCGCCTGTGCAGGGTTCCTTCTGCAGAGAAATAAAGCAGATTCAGGAGTCAGAGTGGGGACTGATGCTTTTTGGCCTCAAAAGCTGGGGTAGGTTTCATCTGAAAAGCGCACTACCGAGGATCACAGTGGTGGGAGAAGCCGGGGCTTGAAAGCCGCCTTCCCTTTGTTCTGCTGGCATCCTGGGTCTCTCGTTTTGTTCCCTCACCCAAGAGCAGAGATTTTTTTGGCACCACCATTCCTCCTGCAAAGCCTCAGCACATCCGGGGTGAGACATCTCTGTGCCAATGCCATGTGGTAAAGAACTCGGAGACAGATGAGCAAGCGATAGCACCAAAGGACAGGGACAGCTGCGCACCCGGGGGACTCAGCAGGCATAAACAAGTAGCCGTGGATGAGTGGGTAACTGTGACTTCATACGAGGAGCGTGTGTGGATGGCGGCGAATTGTGGGGGAGGACTGAGAAAAATCCCATTGGTGCTTGAACCCAGCCCCAGGAGACTGTACTAGAGTGTCATCTGAGTGTGCGCTGGCTGAATCTCGGTGGCTGTGAGGCTTCTCTACTAAACCAGAAAGAGTTGGAGGTCTATGGGCAGCTTGTCTCTCTTACTCCCACCACGTCTGTGTCAAAAGCTGCTTCCCATGGACTAAAGGGAAAGGTCATTGCTGACAGCCTGCTCAAATAAGGTACCAGGCAGAGGAATGGGAAGGCAGACATTTATCAGTAGAAAGGTAAGTGTCTGTAGAAAACAGGAAAGAAAACGAGGTCCTGCCAGCCGTAAGTAGTGCATGAATCTGTGGGGAAATCCTTGGTAAAGCTGAGAATCCTGGCATCATTTTACTGAAGTTTTCATATGGGATTGGGCCTTAGAGAAAGATTAAAGTTTCTGGAGGACACCAGCTACTTGTGGATAAAGCAAGCCCTTACTTAATTCTGAACTTGAGGTAGGAAGGCACTACCTGGGCCTTTGGGCCAGGAAAGTGTCACTAAGAGAGTAGGGCTCGGCTAATGAGATTAAAGTCCCTTTGACTCCTGGCTTCAACCTAGTGACAAGCAGTGTTCTCCTCTTGCTGAGCTGAGGGTGTGCACTGCAGGCTTCAGTTCATTTTAATGAAGAAAAAAAAAGCCTTAGTCCTGTGGGCTTTGGCCTTTAACAGCAGATTTACTCTGCTTGGAGAGGGTAGGAGATGGTGCCCAAACCTAACTCTCAGACCCAGCCCTTGGAAGAGTCTACGTAGATGCAGATGCTGTCTCTTGGCTGGAAACCTACTTGCTTTGTTATTTTTTTTCTCTAGATTCTTGAAGGCTAGGGTTCCTGTCTGTGGAGCAGCAGTTAGGTCTAGGGACAGGGATTTGGTTTACCTTGGTTACATTCACCCCCTGTAGAAATTTGGATAGTTTAATTGCTGGTCTCATTAACAAATACTTGCATATTAAAGCCCTTTATCAATCTCAAGAAAGCATAGATTTTTTGTTGTTGTTTTTTTCGAGACAGGGTTTCCTCTGTGGGTTTGGAACCTGTCCTGGAACTAGCTCTTACCAGGCTGGTCTCGAACTCACAGAGATCCACCTGCCTCTGCCTCCCGAGTGCTGGGATTAAAGGTGTGCGCCACCATCGCCTGGCGAAAGCATAGATCTTTAAAGTCTAGCTTTTCCCAGATGTCCATGCAACGTGGGTTTGTTCCACTCCTCCTAGATTGTGACCTTTGCTAGATGAAGCAGTGTCTGGTTAGCTCAATATCTATCAAAAGGCCTGTGTTGGTCTCTGGGTCAGGTGGTCTCCCTTTACGTCCTCAGGGAAAGCATTGGGTCACGGTGCTGCTGTGGTAGAAGCCAGGAGGCTTAACTAGTGAGTAACTGGCATGTGCCCCCATAAAACAAGTCACTGACTTTTCAGGGACTCTGTGACCCACCACCACCTAAGCATTCCTGGCCCTAGTCTCTACTGACCCCAGGCTCTTGGGGCAGTTTCCAATCAAGAAGGTGGTCTGCTTTATGCAGGCTCTAACCCTTGTGCACTACTCACCTCAGCTTCCTAGTATGTGATCTTGGCCAAAAGGAGATTAAAAAGACAGGCATTCCAGGAGCTGGTTTAAAAAAGAAAAATGTGGTCTGATAAAACCTGTAAAGGCACAGATCGCTCCCAAGGCTATTTCCAGCCGTTCTGGTAGCCACATCTGCCCTGGCTCACCCACCTTCCCTGAAGGTGCCATGTGCTTCCTAAGATCTGCCTGCTAATGGGAAGATCATCATCATAGTTGGAACACTCACCTGGGTGACACTGGCTTTCCTGCTGTGGGATAATGCTCTTGTACACTGTTAAGATCTGTAACTCGGAATAGTTTAAGAAAATGCTGGTTGGCCGGTAGCTAGGCAGGAATGACCAGACTAAGAGAATTCTGGGAAGAGGAAAGGCAGAGATGCAGTCACCAGCCAGACGCAGAGGAAGCAAGATGAACATGACTTACTGAGAAAAGATGCCAAGCCACATGGCTAAACATAGTTAAGAATTACGGGTTAATTTAAGTTGTAAAAGTTAGTTAATAATAAGCCTGAGCTAATAGGCCACAGAGTATGTTATTAATATTAAGTCTCAGAGTGGTTATTTCATAAGTGGCTTCAGGAACAGGCGGGCAAAGAAAGCCTGGTCCGGGGACCAACAGAATAGAGTATACTTCTAACAACACTTTCCCACAGATTAAAAGGCCAGGGCTAGTGTGTGTGTCGTCCTGATTCTGGGCTAGGTGCTGCCACTGCTCAGAACCTGGCAGCAGCAGGAAAGCCCCTCAGCAGTCCACAGGGACTTGGAGGCTTTGCCTGCCACATCAGTTCACTTGGCAGACTCCTGGTTCCTGCTGGCATGAGGTGGCCTCCAGGGCCTCATTTAACCTCCCCATTATCTGTCCTTCATCTCCCTCCATCGGGTTCTCAACTCCTCTCCTCCCTACTCCAGCCATGCTGATCTCATTGCTGCTGCTAACACCTCAGTCATGTTCCTAGTCTGGCACCCTGCAGTTTCTTGGCCTGTAAACTTTCCATATGGCTTGCTGGGCTCCCCTGGCTCTTTTCATGGCTCACAACATCTCCTTGGGATATAATTGTCAACCCCTTCTGAGTGAACCTAATCCGAGTTATCCCCATCCTGCCTCACAAGCCACTTTCTGGACCAGTTTTCCTCTACTGGAATAGAGACTGGATCAGAACAGAACTTGTCTTTTTCATGCTGTTTCTCGTTTGGGAACAAATTAAGGAACCTGTGGGTCACAATCGGGAAACTTTCACAGAAAACTGAAAAACCTGGCTGCAGATAAATGACTGATCTTGATACAGCTGGCGGTGGAACCTGAGCTTGCCCACCTCCTGCCTGCCTCCATTTACCCTGCTTTGTCCGCCCCTATCTAGGCCCTGACCATAGGGACCGGACAAGTAAAGTGAGATTGTCCTCAAGTTCAGGCCCACGGCCAGAAATTTAGGAAATGAAAGTCTCGTTCTTTAGTTTTTCTGTTTTGTTTTTCCCATCACTAATAATGGTTCCATATCCAAGCACTTAACCAGGGCTACTACTTTTATCTTTAAATGTTGGCTTTTTAAAAAGTGATGCATTTTTCCCTTGTAAGAACCGTAGGAGAACTAATTGGTAACTATCAGTCATGCAGTGATAGGGGCGAGTTTTCTAGAATGGCTTGTGCATCCTGCTTCGGTGTGGGCATACGCGGCTAGGGAGGCACCAGGCTCGGGTTCTTTCTCCCGCCGTTCAGCGGCTGCTCGCCAGCCTAGTGTGCAGCTCAGCCGCTGGGTAGGGAGGGACCTATAAAAAGAAGCACCGAGTGCTTTACAAACGTCCGCTCATTTAATCGCGCGCGCGTCCTCCACAGGAACTCGGGTGAGGTAGGCACCGTCCCCCAGGTGCGGCCGGGAAAAGCGAGGCGGCGCACCCGTGAGCGCGCGGCGGCTGGTCGGGGATCATGGCCGCGCTGTGCTCCGCGCTCAGGGTCAGGCTCGGGCAGGCGGCGCGCAGGCGAAGCAGGCCAGCGGCGCTCACGTTGCGGCAGAAGTCCACGTGCAGAGTCTGCAGCGAGCGCCCGTGCGCGGCCACGGCCGCCAGAGTGCGGTTGGTAACGCGCGCGCAGTTCTCGAGGCGCAGCTTGCGCAGGCGCGGGCAGCTGAGCAACAGGCGAGTCAGACAGTCGTCGGTGACGTGGCCGCAGCCCGAAAGCGTGAGGGACGCCAGGTTGGGGCACCTGCGGGGAAAGCGCGGTGACATGGGGCCGAGGTGCAGCAGGACCCGGAGTCCTACCCTGGAGACGTAGGACTGCGGCCAGGGTCTGCTGGAGGCGGTATCTTGAGTCTCTGGGGCTGGAAGCCGTGCGCGGTGGGGACTCTGGGGGCTGAGGAGTCTCCGGGAGTAATGGCTAACGACTAAAAAGCCACAGTGTTGTGTCTAGCCTTCAGCTCGGTTGCCTGGAACCTCAGGCAGCTGGAGCCAGGCCCTGAAGTTGAGACACTCCCGAGGACTTATTTGTGTGGCCGACAATCACTGAACCAAAGTTTGCTTCTGGGTGGTAGGTGTGGGGGGGCAGTGTGTACCCTGCGCTTGTGAGGACTGAGGTCTGAGTGAGCAGAGCCCCACTGCAGGCAGACCATACCCACTTTCCTGGAGACCAGGAGGGTCATCCTGCTTCCTCCCTGGCAGAGCCTCCCTCCAGTGGACCCTGCTGTCAAGGAGCGGAAGAATCTGGACCGGAGGACCAGGTTCCTTCCCACACCATCCTCCCATAGCACCTGTCAGCTCACCCCCTCATGCCTGGGAAGATAAAAGTAACTTCAAACACCCTGGGCGTGGCACCCTCAAAGTCCATTCGCCTTCAGCACTAATCACCCCTGCATGCTACCCCAGTTTTGGAGATGGAGAGAGTGGCTCGGGTGACTTGACAGGTAGATACTTTGGGCCAGATACTGTTGTTAAGGTGCATTTAATACCTCTGCAAATTGCCTGATTGAGAATAACTAAGGCAGGAGATGACTTTCAGCCCATCTGACTTCACCCTTCTCCGGTGGACTGGGTATTGCTTTGCCACTTCACCCTCTTACCTGTGACATAAGAGAATTCTCTCATTTTGCAGAAAAAAAAAGGTTTGCGGTGAGATTAAAGTTTATGCACTTGGTCTGGGGTCAGTTGCACGGTATCAGAAGGGGAAACCCAGCTCCCTTTGCACCTTCTCTGACACCGGGGACCAGTGCTCGGCAGATCCTGTGAAGTCAAATTTTGCTGGTTTGGAGGATTAAACTGGTTACCTTCCAGCGAGAGTGAACCAAGTTGGGGTTGTGATACTACTTCCCTTTTCGGCCATCACCCTGCAGTCTGGTTTTTTGTGAAACCTATCAAATTGGCCTGGCCTAGTCTAGTCAGAGCTAAGCCCAAACCCAACTTGAGGAAAAGAACACAGGAGAGGCAGGCCACTGCAATTATTTCCTGTGCCTGTGCTGAGGCCAGCCAACAGTGGCTATTAACCTTGTATGGCAGCAGCTGGCTAGCAGGGAGTGCTTTCCCTTCAACTGCTGGCAAAGCCATGTTGGCCAGAGCTGCCTACACAGGAAAGTGTGACCAACCCATTTGGTGGCCCTGCCTGTGCAAGGGATGGGGTCAGGGGTGTCAAAAGATCAATTAGGGAATGTTTGCAAGGCATGAGTTGCTTCATCTCAAATTCAAATTTAACCGGGTGATATATATTTGCTAAAAATCTGGTGGCTCCATAGTGGGTACTATGTCTTGGAGCATCGCTTTTGCCCCTCTGACAACTGAAACACTTTCCCTGGGTACTGTGCAAGACGTGTGTTCCTCAGACACTCACCGCTACTCTGCAACAGGCTTTAGCCCAGCTCACCTGAGCACTTGGCTCTCCTTATCAGCAATTCTCAGGCCGTGGGGGGCTGCTTGGGCCAAATGAGAGGCCTGGCTCCACAGATGCCTCTAGAGTCTTTTCCCAGGGCTTGACCTTAAAATTCCAGGCTCAGCTGGACCCAACCAACCCTTCATGGCTGCCAGTGAGACAGCTGCTCCAAGGACAGGCCAGCTGAACCTCAGCTCCTCTGCCTTAGCAGCAGCTTCAGGAGCTGAGACTGAGAGGGAGCTGATTTTACCCAGCTCTTGGGCACTGGTTGTCTGCCTTAGACTGAGTCAGAGCCACACTGCTCTTGGAATGTGTGCTTCCCTGTCCCCCTGAAGCCAAGGCCAGCAAGGCCACACTGCAAGGGGCGAGGTGGCCTACCTGTCGCACACCTGCAGGAGGAACTCGTTAACCAGGCTGTCATGCTGGCTGCAGATGCTCCTCTGGAAGGCACTCTTGAGCCAGTCCTCAATGCTGCACACCTGCACGCGGCTGGAGTGCCAACAGATGGACAGGCTGCGCAGTGCAGGGCCCAGCCGGAAGTTGTCCTTCTTGAGCTCTGCGAGGGAATGGAAGTGCAGCAGGGGCCAGAGGGTGGGGTCCTCAAACACATCTCGGAGCTGGGAGCAGGTCCTGGAGAGGTTCTTTCTGCTGTCCTTGTCCAGGAAGGAGAAGAGGCACAGCAGGCACTCCCGATTGAGCTGGGTTATGTGCATGGTGAGCGGCTGCTTCACGTGAGTGTGCCCGCCCGGCAAGGGTCTGACCTGCCTCCTGCTTCCTCTGAGATCAGGACTGGTGGACATATATGGTTGAGGAATGGTGTTTATTTTTGGCCAACAACTGGTGCTGAGGCTCGGGGTGGGGAGGGCGGGTGTCAGGATCCAGACTTACGCACAGCCATCTGTGGTCCGGCTTATGTTCAGAGGGCCTGAAAGTCCTGGCAGAAGAGCAGCTCACTGAAGTTTAAGTTTCCTTAAAAGGTTTTTTTCCCCTCTGAGCTGACAGTCCTGTTGAGCACAGGGCTCTTGGCTTTTCAAGGTGTTTTCATTGGAGGTGATTGGTCACAACAGCCCTTCCAGGCTTTCTTTCAGTCTTTCTCTGGCAAGATGGTTAACTGTCAGACCTCAGAGTGTGTCTGTGTGGCTCCTCTGTTTGCTCTTGCTCTGAAGAGGCCAGTAGAATCCACTGAGCTAAGGGAGGCGACACATTCTGAGCTGTGAGTGGAAGCCCAGAGTCATATTTCTTTTCTGTTACTTAAGCTCAGGAGATCGATGGCTTCCAGGCAAGGCGGGGCTATCTTCTGATCCCAGTGCCCTTTCTGCGCAACGGCTTTTCTTGGCCCAAAGGCCTCTATTTTTACCCTAACCTGTTTTCTAGAAGATTGAGCTGGAATGTTCTCTATATGGGCCTGCAAATGTGTGCCTACATCTGCATGGTTTCATTATCTGTCCCAGAAGGTATTTCCCAAAATGTGAGGATGGACAGAGGCAACTTTTTCAGTTTCTATTTTTGAATACTTAATTGTAAATGACTTGCAGTAAACTGCAAGTTTGGTGGGTTTAGACGCAAGCACGCCCAGCGGCCCTGCCTCGGAGGAGCGTGTAGTGTGGCTGCACAGCTGAGGACAGGCGCTGCTGTGCTCAGAGCTGGAACTAGCCAAGTTGCTCTTAACACCACGAGAAACAAGACAGCAGCGGCTTTCCCTAAAAAGACTGTACAGAACCCTGTATGGCCACCCACCTTTCCTCCTGCCCATGTAGGCTACAGGACGACCCCTGCTGCCTGCTGCTGCCACCGCTTAGCTCCACTGGAAACAACCCAGGAGTAACACAGGAAAGAGGAGGTTTCCACCTAACAGCCCAGATGCTGAGGCGGGACCAGGATGGGATTTCGGTGAGAACAGCGATCTCCTCCAGGCATCATAAGAACTACTAGTTTTAATGCACATGATCTTGGCAAGCCACCATTCACCTGTGGATACTGCCCAGCGGTGAGTCAGACACGTGGACTCATGCTCTGGCTCTGGAAACAGTTCTTACCTGAGCCTTCCCAGAGCTTGATCAAGAGGGGACTTCAAGCAGTAGGAGGGACATGAGAGAGCTCAAGGGACCAGGAGGTAACAACAGGTGACCGGTTATGTATATTAAACCAAAGAAAGGGAAGTTTGGCTTTAAGGGATAACATTGAGTAGGTTCCACAGGTGAGACACACGACACTCAACCAGGGCCAGCACATGTGACTGGTTTAATTGATCATCTGTCGTCACTACACACTGAGTAGAATACAGTGGATAAGCATAGGTTTCTCCACCATGGAGAGAGACTTGTGTTGCCACAAACTGTTTCTATCCCCACCTGAGTGGGAGGACTTGGAGTTTCCTGTTCCCAGGGGCTGATGGGACAGGGTATGTGTGAGGTCCTGCCTCAGCATAAACTCTGAGCAGAAAGCTGCATGCAGGCTGGAATGCATGGTACAGGGAAAGCCGTAAACAGCACAGAACGATGAGCTTGTCTAACAGGTGTGATAAGGCTACACAGACTTAAAATACAGGCACATTTACATCATGGATGCTCAGATGCACAATGCAAATGGGTGCAGTTCATGGCGCCACTCAGACATTGTTACTTAAGTAAAATCAAGCAATAAAAAAAAAAAAACTACAAAAATTCCCAGAGATGATGCATTCCCCTTGTATGCCAACAAAACAGTCCAATCTGCCACTGCGTTCCACCTGGGATGACAGCAGCTGCTCCGCCTGAGTCTTGGCCCATTGAGAGGCCAAGACACAAATGCCATTGTTCAGAGTCTAGAGTCTCCCTTCTAGGGAGAAGGGTCTGGATCTGCACGAGCTTGTTCAAGGTCAGATGAGACTCAGTCAGGCTTAGCTGTATCACCTGCATCTGTGGGTCAAACCAGCAGGACAGAGATAACTGCACGTGCCTCTACCTCATGGAACTCAGCACAGCTCCATGGCTTCTCACGGAAACACAATGCCACTTTTTTGTCAGTGTTGTGCAAGAGAACCCATGCCCTGTAGAAAAGGCACTGGGACCATGACTGCTGTGACTGAGGAATGTGGCCATTGTCCTGATGGGTTCACGTTAGGTCTGTATTGAAGTGCTGATCCAGTATGTCATTTCTGCTCGGAGGGAATGCAGGATTTATCCGGCTGACAGTAAAGCAGAACTGGGCTGTGTGTGCTCCATCAGCTTCACAGTAGCCAAGGAAAGCTACCAAACTCTTCTCTAAATAGAAAAATAAGATTGCTAAAAAGTCTGCATGAAGTACATTTTGTCCCTTTCGGAGAGGACCATGGAACAAGCTGTGTTGGAGCTCTATACTCTTGACTTGCAGGCTGCATTACCTCCATCCCCAAATCCAATCACTGGCCTCCAGCACTTGCCATTAGCTGCCTTCTTTAAATGGGCCAAATTTCAATTTGGGTTGAATCCAAATAGTGCTTCTACCTATTTTTGTGAACAGTAATTTTTTTTTAAGCTACTGAATTCAAGAATAGAAGCTATTTCTTGTTCAGAGACAAAAAAACCCTTTCACCTGGCTCTGCCCTCAGGCTAATGCTGACTCCCTTGTGTCTGGAAGGTGCCACAGCAGCACCTGACGGCAGGTGACTATCCACTCTGGACGGCAACCTCACCTCTGCTGGGCAAACAGAACCGCTTCATGGAATTGTACCTCTACCACGAAGCCGAGTCAGTGTTCCTGGCCAGTCTGCTCAAAGAAAATACTAATAGGACAGAAACAAGAAATCAAGTGATTCTGGGACTTCATCATGGATGCAAAGAACGGACAGGTTTATTTAACGCTGAGAAACAGCAGCCCAGAGACACAGGCAGTAGGTACCGCCTACAGTCAGAAGGAATTCCTGAGCAGTCACCGTGAGACCGTGGCCACAGGTCCTGCGCACACGATCCTGACTGCTATGAAAGGCAGCAAGTGGGGTGGCTCCCAGAATGTGAGGACAGAGCACATGTGCCTTGGTGAGAACTGAAAACGTTAATATAAAAAGTCAAACAGAACTAAGTCCTGGAAACTACATAGAAAACTTGAGTTATTACAACTAAAGCAGCCAATCAAGATGCCTGCTGAGGTTTTCTGGTAGAACAACAACAAAAATTAGTTGGTGCCCATATTGAGTAAGTCACTACCACTGACCAAACTAAACCCCAAACTGGAAACTGAGAAAGTGCATAACGAAATTAACTCTTGGATCAAGTATTTATGGAAAATTGGAAATGTTTGTCCGGTACAATTGAACTGTGGTCAGAGGAAGTATTAAAGTTTGTCTGATCCAGCTCTGGCCTGACGCTCCACGTAGAAGAGAATGTAGGCCTTCGCCTTCCCAACGGTCTCCTCGTCAGCCATGGTCACAGTACTGTCATTGAAATGGAACCAGCGGCCTTCATGAGTTGCATAGGCTGTGTAATGTCCAGAACCAACCCTGTAAAGAAAAGGCAACAGATAAAGGAAACTACACAGTGAGACCCAGTCTCAATAATAAGAAATTACAGAAATCACTAATAGCTCTTTACAACCGTGCAGTATCAGAGGTTAATAAGGGCAGTAATCAAGGAATGAATCCTGGAGACCTCTGGTTTGACATGGTCAGGTGAGTTCTTGTGTTTACCTCCATCTAAGCCCACAGACAAAGAATATACTGACGCTGAGAACCAAAGAGCACATCAAAACTGACCAAAAATGAGTTTCTAGACTGCACAGCAGAAGGCACTGCGGCAGTGTGGAAACGAGAGCTGCAGACAGCCTCGTAAGTGTGCATGGAAGGCTCTGGAAAACATGCAGACCTGATGAAAACCGGGAAGTCAGTGTGCTGTGACATCTCCCCTATGACACGGTCACAAAGGGCTCTGCCAGGTGAGAAGAGCACCTGAGGACTGACAGCTGCCACAGAGACCCCTGGCAGAGTCTGGTTTCCCCACATACGGAGAAAGACACAGCTCTAGAGATGAGAACAAAAAGGGAAGCATGAGACACACCCCGGGATCCCTGCACAAGGTCAGAGAACACAAAACCCAAGGCTAACAGTGTCAGGAAGACACTGCAACCATAAAACAAGGACAGGACAAAAGTACAACTGGCAAATACAAAACATGTGACTGCAGACTGGCAGTGCAGGCCGGGGTAGAGGATCACAGAGGGATTCCAGGAACAAAAATACTTCCATTAGTAAAGACACTACAAGTGTCCCTGTTACCTACTAATTCAGAATCCACCTGATTTTCTTATATCTAAGAGAGGCCTACCAACTTAGACGCAACAGGATGCTTATAGAATGCGGTGGGACTCAGGCTCCCCAGTCCCCACTGACAGATCAGTAGGGGAGTGTCCACACATAGAGGGAAAGGGTTTGTGATATGGGTGATGGCTTGCCCAAATACACTGATCCAAGTTTGAAGGCAAAGTAACTATTCTTTATCAAATTAGAAATCAGAAAGGTAAACCAAGCTTCCAGCACAGAGAAAAGGGGAAAAAAAAACTTATGCTGGGTGGTTGTGGTGCACTCCTTTAATCCCAACACTTGGGAGGCAGAGGCAGGCGGATCTCTGAGTTTGAGACCAGCCTGGTCTACAAGAGCTAGTTCCAGGGCAGGCTCCAAAGCTACAGAGAAACCCTGTCTTGGAGGGGGGCGGGGGGAAGACCTTATTCTACAAAACTAAAAATCAATCTTTAAATTAGATGACATGGTTACTTAAATTTGAACTAGCATAAGGAGCCAGTTTTCTCCCAATTCTGCCTTCATGCCTCACAGCTTCTTCTCAGGAGTGCTCCACAGTGGACACTTCATCCAGTTAGTGATTCCGCACCCACTTTTAGGGAGTGCAGGGACACTCAGTGAGGCCATCCTGCGTGGCTTCTAAAGACTCCTCCACGGAGCTGACAACTTACCCAGAGCCATGGTGCACCACCACAGCAGCGAGGTCATACAGGCAACTCTCCGGGCCACTATTCTCCGGCTACAGAACAAAGCAGAAGACACCAGGAGCTGAGTTAGCAGCAGTTGTCAAGGACAGCCCAGTGCCTGCTGTGAAGAATTCTCTCCCGGCTGCCTTACCTCTAGTAGGTAGCACTTCATGTCCAGGCCTCTCAGCGGGAATTCTACATACGTATCAACTTTGTTTCTTAAATACGCTGTCCAGTGGAACCTTTTCAAGTGCAAGCACAGCACCTGGTGACAGATCAGGACAGACTGAGGACCCCGGGCTCGCCTTTCAGACTGCCCAGGTGTATCAGATGCCCAGTTTTCCTTCTGACCCCGATACTGCTCTCTTAGAGTGCACCTTATAAATGACCAGGTTTCAGCTCTGACTGCAAACCTCACAGACCAGCCCAGAACTGCTGACAGCTAATAATCTAACTCTCCTCCCAGGCATCTTCTCCATAAATGCACCCTAAGTGAAATACATCACTGACCTTGGGAAGTTTCTGAATCCAAAACTTTTTTGTGGACTTTTGTTTCTTTTTGCACTTGTGGCACATATACAACTCTGTCTCGTCAAGTTCCTCTAGGTCGGTGAAGCTTCGGAGACAATCTGCAATCAGTGTTTTTGACAGCGTATTAAAATGAGGTGACTTTAAGAGCAGCAGTGCAGCGTGTGGAAAGACTAACTTGAAGCAAAAGGACCCAAGTTTCCAGCTCATGGTTTTCAGCTATATAACTTTAAAAATCAGCCATCCCTGGGAACAAACTCGAGACCAGAAACTTTTGCTGGGAAGAAAGACCATGTTCAAAATACTTAGCTTTACACTTTGCAGAGTTCATCTGTAAATCCTAATAAAGATGGAGTCCTAATGCCAGGCGATGGTAGCGCATGCCTTTAATCCCAGCACTCGGGAGGCAGAGGCAGGCTGATCTCTGTGAGTTCGAGACCAGTCTGGTCTACAGAGCTAGTTCCAGGACAGGCTCCAAAGCCACAGAGAAACCCTGTCTCGAAAAACAAAAAAAAAAGATGGAGTCCTAGTGAAATCAACACTTCAACAGCTATTTCCTCTCAGTGTGTGTCCCAAGCACACAGAATCAGATTTAAATCAAACGTTCCGATCTTAAAGCTACTCTACATCCCTATCATTCAGAGCCCCTAGATAAGGCATTAAAAGGTTTTAATTGTTTAATCTGGGGTTGGTAAACTATGGTCCTAAGCTAGATCATTCCAGCCACCTGGCTCTGTTTGCATGTGGTCTGGCTGCTTTTATACTGCAAGAGCAGATGCAAGGCCTCTGTGCTCAGTGGGCCTGTGCAGGGAACTTTCTGGACTCCTGCTGGAGTTAGCAACTTAGAAATCTGCAGAAGATACATGCTACTTAGTGCAAAAATACAATGTCTGTATACCCAATTCTCAGGGCAAGAAATTGACTCTGTCTTGTAGGGAGAAGCCAGAGTCTGTGTACACAGCATCTGGTAGAGCCATGGGGTAGATACCTGTGCAGCTGTGGGCCACCACCAGGCCAGATATTTCCTCGATCTGTCTGTGACCCCTGGCTGTGGTGTTAGTTTCTTTGCTTGTCTCTGTATTATAGACTGTATTCTTCTTCTCGTTTTTGTTGTTGTTGGGTTTGTGTTTTTTTTTTTTTTTTTTGGTTTTTCAAGACAGGGCTTCTCTGTAGCTTTGGAACCTATCCTGGAAACTAGCTCTTGATCTCACAGAGATTCGCCTGCCTATGCCTCCTGAGTGCTGGAATTAAAGGTGTGTGCCACCACCACCCAGCTTAGACTGTATTCTTAAAATACTGGATTAGTTTGGTAAAATGGGTAGCAAGCAGAAATCTAGATGGGCAAGGGAAGGCAATGACGTCACTATTCTCAAAAGTTAAAGGTCAGAATCATCCTTGGTCTCTAATGCCAGTAAGAGCCCCTTTGGAAAAACTGGACAGGGCAAAGTCTAGAAAGAACCTAGGGGTATGGCCTGTATTTGATGGGCCACTGAGTGGTGAGGCCTATGCATCCGTGACTATGCTTTTTTTCCAAGATCCCAATACCTTCTAGACATATCTAGGCTCCCTCTCAACTTCCTCCTTTTAAACCTTCCTCGGCTTGATCCCCTCCTACTATCCCAGTGATCCTCAGGGAAGACATACTGTTTCAGCTTTACCCTTCCTAGAGCAAGCCTCCCAGAAATAACACCTGAGTATGAATGCTAGGAACCCCATGGCAGGAGGAGAGAACAAATTCCTCCAAGTTGTCCTCTGATCTCCACACATACATAAATGTAATACACATTTGTGTCAGGACAATAGGATTGGTAACTCGAGGGAAGGACTTCACTGACAGAAGACTCCCAGGCATAAAATACAAATTCATTTGAAAGGAGAGGACTTGAATAGAGTCTCTGTGTAATAAAATTCAACATGGCTCTAGTCATCTAGAAAGTGCATTTAACTGATGAAAGCGGTTTAAAAGGGGGAAGTGATCATTTTGAGTTGACAATTTTATTCAGTGAGAAGACTTTAGTTTCATTCTTCTGTTATCTTCTGTATATGGATACAATTTTGCCATTATCAAAAAGGCTGTCTCTTATATTCTAAATTTTTTGCATCTTTGTCAAAAAGTAGTTAGCTGTATCAACATGGACTAACTTCTTAAGTTCTTCCACTTGTCTTTATATGTCAGCCATAGACCTTTTTATTACTATTCAGCCTTTGGTACTGTGACCATTTCTAACGTGTTGAGAATTTATCAAATGCTTTCTCTACATTTTTGTGATGACTGCAGGGATATTGTCCTTCATTTTGTTACTATTGTGTATCACATTTATTGGTTTGAGTATGCTGATCCGTCCTTGCGTCCCTAGGATGACTCCCACTTGGTTATGGCGTGGCTTTTTTATATTACAGAAACTTTGGTATTCCGGCTCCTTTATACTGTCTCAGGTTAGATACCGAGTGACGGCTTACAGAAAGAGCTAGGCGCAATTTCTTCTGTCTCTATTTGCTGTAGCTAACACACACTAACTGGACAGGTCAGTGGTCACTGGGGTAGATGCACTTCTTTCCTCCCCTAGCTCCTCACTCTTTACTAACACATCACTGTTGGCGTGTGCTCATTTTCAAGTGTGAGTAGGAACATGGAATCATGTATCTGTGTCTAGCTTATTCACTTAACATGACATCTTGTGGTTCCACCCATTTCCCTGTAAAGGATAGGACCTACCAGGCCAGTGCAGTGGTGTCTATAGAGATGGAGACAATCAAGTAGGTGTGGACCTTCATTTACTGTCTCAAGCCCATTACTGATCTGTTTATACTTTGTTTTTTGGCTAAATTTTAGTAAGTTTTCTGTGTTCAGGAATTTACCCATGTCTTGTATAGCTCTTCAAAATCTGAAAGAATGGCACATAATTTCTTCGTATTTTTATGGTATCCATTCTCTGGTTTTATTTGGGTCTTCACTTCCTTGGTTCATCTCTTTATAGGTTTGTCAGCTTTTTTTATCCTTTCAAAAAGCCATCTGATCTTTTACACATTCTTAGTGGTTTCAGTTTTATTTCTGATTTGACCTTTATTCTGTCCGTTTTATGCATGTATTTGTTGCATAGACTCAGTATTACTTCTGATGTGTTGTCATTGGTTTTGATGTTTTCTCTATCTTCAAGGTCATTTAAGAGTAAGTTGTTTCCCTTGTATAGTCTCCTTTCTTAATTTACAGTTTCACTCTGGTGAGACAGGGTCTCACCCACATAGCCCAGGCAGGCCTCAGTGAATGTGAAAGTTTCCTGACTTTCCTTGCTGGGATTACAGGCATGGGCCACCACACTGAGACTTGTACTTCTGGCCTAGTACCTGATCTTTCTCAGAGAATGCTGAATGAACATGAATGTGTACTCTGCAGCTGCAGCAAACATTCTGTAAATGCTCATCTGCTTCAGAGTATGGCTCCACTCAGAGTTCCCATCAGTCTGAGGTTCCAAGTATCATTATCCTGGAGTATATTCTCCCTTTAGAAATAATATTTGCCTTAAATATTTGGTGGTTTCATCTGAGGTAATCAACTGTTAATCTATTCCGTAAGATATAAGGACGTATGTCTTTTTCAACTCTTTCTTTAGATCTACATGCATCTTTACCAGTGAAGTGTATTACTTGTAGGCAACGAAGTTAGAACTTGAAAAATGCTACATTGCAAAGTCAGCAAAAGTTCATATTCGTCATAAAGGAGGTTACAAAGCTGTCCCCATTTCAACCATGTTTTGTAGTTGTACTTTGTGGGGTTTTTGGTTCTGTTTCTTTCATAGTATACACATGAATTCATCTTCCTGGGTATTTAAGCACTAAGAGCCATTTAGAAAAAGAGTTAAGTTACATTGGCAGTGGCAGTTTAAACCTCTAAGTGAAGCACCATGGCTTCAGGAAAATTGGGACATTCTAACTAGAGAAATTACTGAGGGGGATAGATTGGAGAATGAGCAAGTGTTTGAATGGATTCTTAAAAACAGTGATGTGATATGTTTGTGAGTTAATTAGATTTTTAGATCTACTTTGTATGTTGTCTCTGGACTAACTTGACCCATTTCCATTTAAAATTACTACTGACAGGTAAATTTCCTTCAGTCATTGGTGGTTTTCTGCTTGTTTTTTGTCTTTTTGTTTCATCTTTCTCTTTTTAATTTGGTAGTTGTCTGTCATGCAAATGTGAGTTCATGATGTTTTTCATGATTCAGCTAACATACTGTTGTTGGAATACAATTCTGACTCCATTTTGGTCTATTAGCTTCTGCTGTGAGAACTACTGTAAAGCTGAAGTGTTCCCTTCGTGACTTTCTCCTGCTGGCTTCAGAAGTATTTTGTACTTCTAACATGTTCACTAGAACACACCTTTGGTATGGTATTTTTTTCTGCTGAACTTGGCTGTTCTAAGCTTCTAGTACATGTGGGAGTCTAGTGTCTCTTTGGAGACTTGAAAAGTTCTGAGTACCTTTCACCTTCCCTTTGCTCGCTGGAAGCCCTCTTTACGGAGTTTTAACACATGTTCACTGCCGAGTGCCCTTCAAGTCTCGCACACTTTCTTGTACAGTGTTCACCCACAGGTCAAGCATGGGTGCCAGAGTGTGTGGCTTTGTCTGCAGTTCTGGAACTCCAGGACATGGCTGACTACTGTTCTGATCCGAGGGACAACTGTGGGTTACACAGCTTTCTAGCTGAGGTCCTAAAACTAAGGTCAGAGCTTCTCTGGTTCCTACATGATAAATTCAAGTGATACCAGGCTGTGTTCTGGGTCTCAGGCTGGAACTTCTCCTGTTTTCAGTAATAACACTGGGGTTTGGGCACCAGCAGGTGTAAGTGGGACTCAGAAGAGCTGCTGCCTACTCTCTGAGGGATGGTGGCCTGGCAGTGGCTGCTGAGCAGCCTGGATTCTAGGGTGGCAGTGAGTTGCTCCTGTGGTCTGCTGCAGAGGGGCTGCTGGCACTTTCCTGCCTACCCTCTGCCCTTGCAGTGGAGGGCCTGCAAGGACTGCTGAAGTGCTACAGTTTGCTTTGTCCTCGTCTGCTGCCTTTCTGACTCTTGATGACCATTTCTAGAGTTCTCCTGCCCCCTCACACATCCTTCCTCAAAATACACTTTTTCTACTGACTGTGGGGACACGTGGCCTTCAATCTCAGCCCTTGTAAGACCAGCCAGGGCTGCAGTTTCCTTATGTACCCAATATACAAGGCGCTTCTATATAGCCATCTGGATCTTGTCGCCGTAATTATCAACTAGGTCTTTTTGTTTGATTACTTGATACTCATTAAGAAAAAAATTAGTTCAAAAATCTCCCACAGTAGATGGTCTTGCCCATTAAAAGCCAGCTTTGAGACTTACCTAGATATTGTTTCCGTTGTTTTTGAAACTGTTGTTGTAACTGACTAAACTCGAGCTAGTATTCTTCCCTTTGTTTGTAGATAAGTGTGGGATAAGCTAAATTCTGTTTCATTTGACTATAAAAAGTCAACATTAAAAAGATAAAGAGGTGGCCAGGTGTGGTGGTGCACACCTTTAATCCAGCACTTGGAAGGCAGGTCAATCCCTGTTGAGTTTGAGGCCAGCCTAGTGTACTGAGCAAGTTCCAGAACAGATGGGGCTACACAGAGAAGGAAGGGGGGGGGGGGAAGAAAGATAAAAAGTAAGAGAAACCTAAGTATTTTACCCTTCACTGACATACCATGTGTTCTAAGTACAACATGGTGTGAACTGCATACAGATAAAAGGCTGCAGCAACTGTGAGCTCTAACAGAAAAGCAACATTAAAATGCCCTTACCTCGTAATGAGCAAACCGGCCCACTTTCCTGGTTCTTAGAGCGCTTGCTTCTGAATTGACTTGGAATATCTAAGGAGAGATCTTAAAAGAAGAGAACTCAAGCTGTTAAAGACATTTGACTTCACTACAGATTTACTAAAAAAAATAAAAAAAAAATCAAAAAACCCACCAAACCACGGCACCACATACTCTGGCCAGTATCCCTTACCTAGGAATGGATCAAACTTCCTTGACTCTGTCCCACAGATGAGGCAGTTGACCTCATTCTGGAGAATTCCTCCAAATATTGCTGTGACAACAGTTGAGGCTCCATTTCTAAAGAAACACCACATGGAAAACAGCTCATAAAATCATTCTTTGAATTTTTAAAGCATTAACACTGGGCAAACAAATCTCATGTATATGGGATGAAATGATGACTTCACCATCAGAATACACCCATAAGTGCTGCCTTATGTTTTAATCTTTCACTTTCCAAAGGCTTTGCTGAGGATACAGAATGCTTCAAACTACTTGATGGCATATCCTCAGCCTCAGGAGTAAAGGCATTAGTACAGCTTGAGGGACGCCACCAGCAAGGAAAGGTGCTGTGTACCAGTGCCCCCTTGTAAAACAGCACAGCAATTTCATACAAGAGTGTAAGTAAAAACACACCACCTTATCAACAAGGAGAAACTAAGCAACCTAATGCTGTGATGGTTACAGCACAACAGGAGGAGCACCTGATTCACGCCTAACTGCATACCTAGCGTTCACCATTATTTTATCAGCAAAACATCAGGCAGCACCTACCCATGCTGGTATTTTTTCCCAGTTTCAGACCCACCATGGGCTCAGGTGGAAAGGGCACCTGGAGTAGCAAGTGTCCTGAATGTGGGCTCCATTCTGAGCACCTGTTAGTGAAGTGAGCGCTCAGAGCTGCCTGTTTAATGCTGTTCCTGCTTTGCAGACCAGGATGCTGAGACTGGGTCAGGACCCAGCTTAGGCCATGCAGTTATTCTCCACACTAAGCCCTTTATTTAACCAAGACGCCATCAGTGGATATTGAGGTGGCTCAGTGTCTGTTCTCATTAATAGTACTGTAACGGCCAAGGGTCAATCTTCACACCTTTAATTCCAGCACTCATGAGACAGGGGCAGGCAGGTCTCCAAGTGTTCAAAACCAACCTGATCTACATAGCAAGTACAATGACTGTACAGAGACCGTCTGTAGTAATAATAATATTACAAATACTTGTTTCTGAGCCCAGAAAGTACCACTTTGCCCATAGCAACCAGTTTCTCTTACACTGAACAGAACTTTCTGCACCACACCAAGTAAACCTACTGCCATGATGTAGACAAAAACCTACCCAAGCAACTTCTCTGCTACATGCAGAAGAAATGGATTTTAAAAGCCTGAAGGGACATTAGGAACTACAGGACATTAAACCGTTTCAGGATTTCCATTTATACTTGTGTCATAACCAAAGAACACACAAATTCTATGGAAAATGAAGGGCTGCAATTGACCCTTGCACATCAATGCACATATGCAAAGTTGCCTTTATATAAAATGGACACCGCTTCATTAAAAAGCAGTGCATTAACACTCACTGCCCATAATCATTTCCTGGGAGAAATCCAGTTTCAGCCTTCTGACCGGCATGTGTTAAGATTAATAATTCCCAGGGTGCTTTCTGCTCTGTTGTATTAGCACTAACGACTGTCAGGGCATTTCTATCTCAGCACCACCCACTCCCAGCTTCAAGAAGCGCTTTTAGCAAGTATCCCTAGGTCTTGAAACCTCTCCTCCCATGGACTGAAGGAAAGAAAGGGAAAGCTTTAGTAGTTGATTATTTTTCTTCTAACTTGCAATTACTATTCTTTAAATAGACTAATACTAAAATTGGTTCTGAACTATACAATGCAATTCCACTGGAAGACCCAGAGTTTCTAAGCTACTGAGGATACATACACTCTCATTTCATACAAATTATCTTTGATAGAGCCTATTTCATTATATATATATATATATATATATGTTGTAATATACAACTTTTTATTTAACATTATTTTTAACTTGGTGCTAGAAGAACAAACAGCTTAACTGGATCTTAGAGCTTCCCTTTCTATAGTGTGCTGACTGGAACTTCAGGGTCCTGGAGGAACCTGGCAATTCATCCCAGTCTGTTTTCTTTGACGTTGCAGGATTTGAGGGTGAGCGCCAACCACCAGAAAGTACCAGTCACCCCCACTTCCCCACTTCTTTCTTTATGTAGGAGAGGGATTTATAAGACATCTTCCCACAGAAAGAATCCTAAACAGAGTACAAACAACTGAAAAGGGCTGAGCACAGTGCAGGACTCAGAAAGCAGGTACACTCTGTAAGTTTCAGACTAATTAGGGCTACACAGTAGACAGCCCTTTCTTTAAAAAAAATGCAAATGCCTAGAATCCAGACTGAAATAATACTTTCCTTCTCAGCAAAATAACTGTTCTGTTTCAGGCTGTTAATATAAAGGAAACAAGACAAAAGGTTTTGTTAATAGTAAGGGACAAGAAAAGTTCTGCGAATTTACAAATTTCTCAGTTTCATTAAAGAAAAAAATGCTTTTAGCTAACATTACTGTGTGTGCATGGGAAAGAACCTAACTACTAACTCAGCCTGGAATTGGACTCATAATGATTATCCTTTCTCATAATCCAATGTTCTAGGATTACAGATCTGGGTCCCTGATCTCAAGAGTATTACACGTTTACATTATTCAGTTTATCTGGTTGAAAATCTTTTAAATACTAATTAAATCTCACCAAAAATAATGAGAACCACAGCAAGACGTAAGTATAAATGCTTACTTAAATGAAAATGTAAAAGCACATAGCATGCACGCGCGCACATACACACACTAGCAGGCATCTCTGAGGGTTCTGAGAGCAAAAGTAAACTGAGTCTTACATGCAGCATTTGTTATTTGCAGACAGAGCAGAATTCTCCTGTAGAATTGCTGATCGGGAAACACCATTGAAGCCACCCTGAAGTTCCAAGTGTAGGTGATCCAAAAGGTAGCGCATGAATTCGTGGGCGTCTTGCTGCTGATAACCCCTTGAAGTAAACAAAAAAGAGTGTGTGGGAGGCCCCCCATCAAACATGAATGACTGCATCCCCATGCTCACAAGCATGCCTCCGATCCCCACCTCTGCCTCACCAGTTCCACACGTGACACAGATGCCTCTGAATTTCAAACAGTTAGAGCTAAATGGGGCTGTAGTGATTTCCACTGACCTCTCCACTTCAGCATAAATTAAGGAACTAATTAGGGGAGGGATGGTATGAGACTCACCTCAAGTCCTACAAGAGACAACACACAAATTCTCGCCTCTTAAATGGACCCACCCTCCACGGGTTCTCTCCAGAAAGGACCTAAATCTTTAACTTAATCTAACCTGAAAGCCATGACTAAGTTTCACTAAAGAAGAAATTTAGAATACTTATATAGTTTTAAAACTCTTCAATCCAAGAACTAAAGTTATCTGGGCCTGGTAGGGAGAAAGCTCGTCAGTCTCTGCAAGCGTGAGGGCCTGAGTGCAGTCCCCAGAACCATGGGAGAGACAGCATTTCACAACACGGGGGGCGGATAAGAACCCCCTAGGGCTCCCTGGCCAGGTCAACCAGTCTAGCTCAAGCAGGCTGTCTCATCTCAAATAGAAAAAGGAAGGAAGGAGGAAGTTAATTTTTAAAAAGTTTAAATTTTTAAACTAATTTTAAAAATTAATTTAAAAAAGAAATACCAAGCTGGAAGATGGCGACACATGCCTTTAATCCCAGTATGCAGAAGGCAGAGGCAAGGTGGATTCTCTGTAAGTGTGAGGCCAGCCTGGACTACAGAGAGAGTTCCAGGACAGAAACCCTGTCTCAAAAAACAAAGAACAACAACAACAAAAAAGACCAGATATCAACCCTGGTCTCCACAAGTGTGTACACACAAAATGAGTTCAAGATATGTAATATTCTCTAACTTCCATCTTTTGGGCTAGAAGACTATGTTCTTTTAAAATACATTGACTCACTGAACACAACTATGCACCACCCTAAACTTGAATACACATAGCAACATGTTCTTACATTACTTCTTATGTTGTATTTGGGAGAGGAGACTTCATGGAATTCTTACACTAATCCACTAATCCAGGTCAATGACTAGTGAACAACAATGAAGAGATCCAAAAACAAACAAAACAATGATATATAAAATGTGTTGTATTCTATACACTTTTCACAGCTAAGGTCTCCTTAAATGGCGAATCTGTTCTGGTGACGTTAGAGAGTCCCTGAGACCAGTTCTCTTTCGGTCATAGTTCCCCGTAAGCTATGCTGTTGCCCTGTCCTAGAAAGTACAAACTAAGGCGGTCTTCCTAATTAACGGAACTTCAAAATCAGAAGTCACTGTATTCACTGTAGCTTGCCTTAAACATAAAACATAAAATTAGCAACTATCAACATATGTTCAAATACTTCTAAAGTTAGTATAATTCAAACTGTCAGTTAGCTAGGAGGTAGAAGTGTTCGCTTTGATCCCAGCACTCAGAAGGCATAAGCAGGAGGGTCTCTGTAAATTCAAGGTTAGTGTGGTCTACAGTCCCAAGAAAACCAGGGCTATACAGAAACCCTGTTTCAAAAAACAAAAATCAAACCATCAAGTATATATCCAAAGCTGGTAGTTCATCTACATAAAAGGACGGGCTTTAAACTAGTTCAACACAACATCCACTTGTTTTTGACTGAAAGGTAAGATCAGTATTATCTGCAAGTCTACAAAAATTTCACTCTTCTCAAAATAATTTAAATTACTTTTTTTCCTAAAATATACATTCCAAGTCAATACCTTACAATAATTTCTGTTTTCACCAGGTGAACACATATTCCTTTACAAAACAATCTGCCTGGTGTGTGTTAAGGAATTCCCAATTATACTATGATTCTCTAATACCCTAAACATTCTCCTCAACTTATATGAGCTCACAATCAACTGTTCTGGAAAGGTAAATTGAGAGTTTCTGTTTAAAATTTTGAAATTTAGCAAAATCAAAATCATTGCTTTTTTTTCTGATCCTGAATTTTAAAATGCATTTACACTACATCCCTTAAGAAATACATGGATAAACCCAGCACTGGGAGGTAGAGGCAGGGAGACCTCAAGCTCAAGGACAGCCTATTCTACATAGTGAATTCCAGGACAGTCAGGGTCACATAGTGATACCCTGTCTTAAATAAATGAAAAAAAGAAAGTAAAAATTAAAAAAAGAAATATGGCTGGGTGGTAATGGTGTATACATTTAATCCAAGCACTCGGGAGACAAAGGCAGATCTCTGAGGTTGAGGCCAGCCTGGTCTACAGAGCAAATTCCAGGACACCCAGGGCTACACAGAGAGACCCTGTCCCAGAAAAGTAAAAGTAAGTAAAAAGATTTATTTTATTCCGTGTATATGAATGGTCACATGTATGTCTGGGCACCAAGTGAAATGTCTGGTGCCCACTAAAGTCGGAAGTAGCTGATGAATCCCCTGGAACTGAACTTACCAGCTGTGTGAGCCACCATGTAGGTGCTGCGAATAAAAGCCAGATCCTCTGCAGGAACAAGTGTTCTTAACCAATGAGCATTCTCAAGTACTCAAGAATTAATTTTATTTTAACGACTTTCAGATAAGTCAATGAGTCTGTTAAGTAGTATTATTTAGCATCTTATTTTCTCGGTTGTTTCCCAGTTATACAATCCAGGCTTCAAAATCCTCTTTAGCTAATTAGATTTCTCTTGCTTTGTAACTGGGTAAATGACATGCACTAAGAAAGAAACAGGTTATAAAGACCCAAATTTAGTCTCTGTGACAGACCAGGATTAAAAGACTAAAGAAAATAACAGAGGTTTCCATAGTAATGAGGTTCTTTACAATTGTTAGACCTAAGAGTATCCTCTTCCTTGATGCATTCCGAAAGATTAACAGAAAACCTGTCAAAATGATGTGAGAAGGGGCTGGAGAGATGGCTCAGAGGTTAAGAGCATTGCCTGCTCTTCCAAAGGTCCTGAGTTCAATTGCCAGCAACCATTTGTAATGGGATCTGGTGCCCTCTTCTGGCCTTCAGGCATACACACTGACAGAATATTGTATACATAATAAATAAATAAATAGATAAATAAATAAAAAAATGATGTGAGAAATCACACTGCAAATACTGGCAACTCCTAAAGGACCTAGAAGTGTCCTGAGACACACTGATGGGAGCACAGCACCAGGGACAAAGGAGCAACAACTTGTGACACATGAAGACACACATCTTAAAGACAAATCACTGTTCTGATAGGTCATCTCTGGGGTGCCCAGTCAGGTATGAGAGTAAACATTCTGAATAATGTGTTACTATATATTGGCACTGCCTAAACAATCTACAATAATGAGGAGTCAGAGGATAAGAGCAGCCAGGTGTGGTGTGCTGGGCACTTGCAATCCTGAGGCAGGTGGATCACTAAATCCAGACCTGCTGAGAAAATTGAGTATGACCTCATCTCACAGGAAACTGAGGCAGGAGGTTCAGGGCAACCTAATGAGACCCTGTCTCAAACTAAAAAGACTGAGGATCGAGCACTTGCTTATGTGCAGGGCCCTAGGTTCAATCTCCAATACCACGCGTGCACACCGGAGTAAGACAGCTGTGTGCGGTGGTGCACACCTCTAATCCCAGCACTCAGGAAGCGGAGGCAGGAGGAGGATTTCTCTGAGCTCAAGGCTAACATGGTCTACAAGTCTGTTCCAGGACAACCAGGGCTACATGGAGAAACCTTGTCCAGAAAAAAACAAAAAAGAAAGAGTTAAGGCATGCCTCCGCAAAGTCAATTAGTCTAGGATAAACAGCCTCTAAAATATCTAAAACATATTAAACAGCCTCTAAAATATCTAAAACATATTAAGAGTTTTCTTTTTCTCTGGGTATGGGGGATGGAACAAAGTCTTACTGTGTGTAGCCCACCTCAAACCTGCAATCCTGACTCAGTCCTGAGAGCAAGGATGCAGATGTGTCCCATTAACAGCTCTTGACTGAGTGACTTATGCTGTTTGCATATCTGGTAGAATTTTAAGTTCTATTCATATTTAAAGTATTTCAACATTCATAAAAGAATTATAAGTTATCCTTTTGGCCAAAACACTTGCAAAACTGAAATATATTAAGCTATCTTTTGCCCAGTGTTGGCACGGTCTTATAAAACATGAAAACAATAGAAATGAATGTTTACAACAAATACAGACATATGTATGTAACAGCACACTTCCTACCAGAAGAACTAATGCTGCTTAAAAAAAAGAACACAGTATTTTAAAGTCTTCTTTCACAAATTTATCTCAAGAGATTAAAAATTATAAATGATCTTTTATACTGTCCAGAAACCTAAAAATCACTAACATATAAGGTAAAATCATTCTTCTGTGGTAATATTTGTTTGTGCTCTAACAAATAAAGCTCGCCTGAAGATCAGAGTGCAGAGTTAAGCCACACCAGTTAGCCATAGAGGCCAGGCAGTGGTGGCACACACCTTTAATCACAGCACTGGGGAGGCAGAGACAAATAACTCTCTGTGAGCTCAAGGCCATACTGGGCTACACAAAACTGATCCAGTGTAAAAGAGAAACAGAGCCAAGTGGTGGTGATTCACACCTTTAATCCTAGTATTTGGAATCCCAACAGTAGGGAGGTGGAGGCAAGACAGGATGTGGAATATAAGGCTCAATATATATAGGAGCTCAAGGCATTCGGTCTGAGAACTTGTGGAGACAGCATACCCCATTCAGTCCAAAAGTTTCATAGAAGTAAGAATTCTAGTGGTTAGCTGCTCTGCGTCCCTATCTTTCGGCTTTCACCCCTTCATATCTGACTCTGGGTTTTTATTGTGAAGACCAATTAGAATTCACACTACAATTCCCATTCCTTATGTAAGTTATAACAAGAACTAAATTTTTCAAAAAAAAAAAAAAAGATGTGTTTTAGGAAGTTGAGGCAATCAGGTTGTTCATGGAAGCAGAAATGGCAAGTAAATATGAGATGCAAGTGAATACCACACGGCCTGATTTAATTTCTAAAAAGACTTCCACGGAGTAAATAAGCTAGATCCTAAAGAAAAGTCTGGACCAAAGGGCAAACAGACAGCAAGAGCACAAGGAAACCCACGCTGACGGAAGCAGGAGTGACAGAGGCTAAGGGAAAGGCCATCTGAACCACAAGGGTCCAGACTCTGACCCAGCAAGTCTGCAGTACACAGGCTGTTCATCTCAGCAAAGCTACAGGAAAGGCATTATTTATATAATCACTTATTTTTAAAGTTAAATACACTTAAGCATGTACAGAGATTATCACTGAAAGCACACTTGGCGATGAGGTAACTGGCTACACTTCCAGAAAACAGGATAGTGAGGGATTGGAGTGAAAGAGAACACTCAGTGCCTATACTAATCTTAATCTTTTAAATTTAGAACCATGCATATTTTGCCTATTAAAACCTGAATGTATCTGTCTTTTAAGAAAAAAAAAACAAGGCTGGGCATACTAGGAAGTCGTACATATAGTAAGCAAATATGCACACTGGACTATGAGAAAATTTCCCTACTTGGTAACTGGCTTTTGGTTCCAGTGGGGAAAAGTAGCCTTGATGTATACACAAAAGTTCCTGGCTGCATTCATGACTTTTGCCCACACTCACTTCGTAGATGAAAGATGCCCCTACTTCTCTCCAATGTCATTCCAGAAGCCAGTTTCCCCAGGCTTTGCAAACAGAACAATAGTGTGGGTTATAATAAACACCGTGGCAGCATATTGGAAGACTAGCTGGGCTTCCACATGCCCATGGTTTAAGAATCACACCTAGCCTTAAAGAAAGCCCTACCCACAGAGCTCAGCAGACCGCCATCAGCATCCTCCCAGAACTCTCAGGACAGCCCCACCTCCAGGCTTTTAACTCAGTAAGGTGATGATCTCAAGATCTGTACATCTCTATCTTTCAACAAAGGGAAGTTCTCTGAATACACAAAAATGGGAACGATCTCAATTATTGCAGAACCAGAAGAAAGCCCAGCTGTAACTGGGCAAACATCAGAATTCTTATGTATCAGAAATCACCCCAGAGATTGAGTAAATTTCTCAACCTGGTTATCTCTTCTGAAGTTTTCATTTATCAGTAGAAATACTAAAATCAGTAAATTCAACAGTTAAACCATGCTCACAGTTGGGCTATAAAACCCAGCAAGGGCAGTAATGAGGTGATGTTTGGAGAACAGCAGATTGCACTATATCAAAGAAGGGGTGTCAAACAGTCAAGATGAAAAGATGAAGGAAACTGCACCACACTTCACTCAAGTCACATCTGCTAAGAACCAGCTCCTACACACTTCTAATTTGGTCAGACTATCAGGTAGATATAGAAGACCAAGCAAGCTGCTTCTCTACTTTGACTTCTCTAAACTTAGGGGAAACATGTCCTGACTTGGCTAAAATGCTTTGTTGCTTGGTTTTTAATAAGGATAAAGTAATTAGGGTTTTCCACATAGTAGACATTCAATAAATGGGAACCACAATGATATGTAAAGTTCAAGCCTGATGAGTGGCATCTGAGCTGTCATTGCTGCTTTTCCTGCCTAGAGTCGAGAGGAGACTTAAGACCAGGGTCAACAGCAGTTAAATCAGACACTCAGAGGCTCAGCTCATTTGGTAAGCAGTGAATTACAAGGCTTTGATTTTTATACCTTTTACACATTTCTTTATATTAAAAGGTACAAGATATATTGTTAAATTTCACTACAATGAGTGGTTTTTAAACAAAGGATATATGCAAAGTACCAAATCATGACTTCTAAGAGCTATAAATTGCTTCAAAGAAATAGCGAAGTGTGGCAAACACTGGTATACCATACATCAGTAATGATCCAGATTCTCCCAGGGATGACTAACCAAGAGAGGCAGGACAGCTACCAGAGAGAATGAACAGGTGGCTAAGTAGGATTGGCCCTGCTGTCTCCCAAAGTGTGACTCACAGTCAACCTGGACAGCACGGTACCTGAATGGTATTAGAGATTGAACCTGTAGCCTCACACATATCAGGCCCCAACCCTTACTTCATTCTTTAAGCTGGGGTGATAAGATAGCATGTGATGACAATTATTTCTCTGTGAGACTTGAAACAATCAGGGCTGGAGATATGTATGGCTCAGAGCACTGGCTGGTCTTCTAGAGGACCCAGGTTCAATTCCCAGCACCCATATAACAGCTTACTCCAGTTCCAGACCTCAACACCTCAGAGAGACATACATGCAGGCAAAACAATGAATATAGAAATAAAATTTTTAAAAAAGAAAGACTTGAAAGAATCAAGGGACGTTTGTGGTCTGCTACATTTTCCTAGCACACACGGACTACTTATGGAACTTTAAATGAGTGTTTACTCCATGCCATACGCTCGTCTAATAAAAGCGCCGCTAGAAGCACCTGTAGTAGCACCAGTTTTATAAGAGGCTGAGGAACAGCAGAAAGGACATAGATGTCTTACGCACCCTTCAATACCTACCTGAAGTTAGGCATGATCTTCCAGACAACATAAAACAAGGACTCAGGACTAAATGCAGTCTGGCTGCCTTGCCATAAAGCACACAGTGTCTTCCTAAACTCTTCTACTAGAGACCTGGAAAAGGGGATGATAGCTTTAGCATCCATGAAAGGTCATTATTTCAACACATATGGCTCAACTGTATAAATACAGTAAAACATGAGAGCTTTTCAAGGACTTAGTCTTCTAAACTCAGCCTAATACCTATGTAAGAGCATTTTTAAAACCCCATATGGATAGTAGTATTGTTGACAAAACTAATTTAACTATATTTATCTCCGAGTATATAAATGTACTATCATTTTGTTCACTCAGTTTAAAGGAAACATACAAAACAGTAAAGCAGTGGTTAACTTGCAAGCAAATTACTTAAACATGTTCACTTAAAAACATAAACAAGCAACAGAATGTCCCCATCTCCTACATGTTTTCTTCTTCCTTGAAGGGGCCTTCCAGATTGGACTCATTCATCTCCGCCTCAGACAGTACACGTGGTCATAAGACTTGAGGCTTTAACTCTACACACTGACCCTTAAACCCAAATCTAGAAGAGACTTTGACGATTTTTGGTGTGTGTGTCAGGATCTCACTATGTACTCCTGGCTATCTTGGACTTGCTACGTAGTCAAGGCTACCCTCAGACTCAAATACCTCTGCTTCTGATGGGATTAAAGGTGTGCCCACCATGCCCGGCCTTTATGACTTTTTATTCAGGTTTTCCCATTTCTGACAGGAACTTCCTACTGGGCATCTTCTGGTCACTTCACTGTGACTATGTGCAAAGCTACTCCAGTTCCTACTACTTAATCAGATGAACTCCTAGAATAAAAACCTGGGAGTGTGCCACTTCTGGGGGAGTTTCCTCAGGAAAAAGGGTAGTCCTTAGCAACTCCTCCTTTTCCCCGGATCTAGGATACATTCGTAATAGGAGTTCCCCACTATCTGGAACTATGTGGACAAAAGCCACACCCCTGAATAAGAAGGAGCCTAATGACTTTGCAAAATAGTTCTTGACAGATAATCTCCTAAATTTACATGAGAAAATAAAAACCATAGATACGTAAGTTACAGCTAATTCTGATTCTTCTGTGCAAGTAGTTAAACTGATAAACTCTGAATTCAGCTACTAGATCTGGCAGTATAGTCAACCACTCCGGGGTACTTGACTGAAGGTTTCTCTGACAGCAAACCATCTACACTGGCCTACCTCCCAAGAGACACTGGAACAGCCGGAAGGTGCCCTCTTAGCCTTCCTTGCAGCTGGAGCAAAGAACATGGCCTGGGTTCTGCATATTTGAAGCAGGCGCTAGGTGACACAAAAAGAAGAGACAGCACCAAATCCTCTTTGGAGGTGGCAGAAGTAACAAGCGCCACCCCAAATCCAGGGGCAGGAGCAAGAGCTGCAATGTTCTTAGAGGGCAGTTCTGTGCATGCCTGTGGCTGTGGTGCTAGCTTTGACCTGATTTTCAAACATCCAGTAATGCAGACTCACCAACAGTTCTTCAGTAAATTCTCTTTTTGACTTAATCAGCCAGACAAATTCTAAATAACACCAATACACCGGGTACTGTTAGTGCTTCTCTTAACTTCTGCATACATGTATTTCCCCTTTATTCCCCCTGCTGTTTCCTTTGACACAACGCAAGTCCCCTAAATGCAGGCACTTTCCTACTCATCCTATATGTTGTCACCAAAGGAAGCTCCCTTTACACACTACATGACCCCTTCTCTATGATGGGACTCTATCTGCATTACACAATATTCTAACATTATCTCTCTCTCTCTCTCTCCTTTTTCCTCCCTCTCTCATTGAGGCCAGGCAGTGCCTCATAAATGGCCTTTCAAAATTAGTAGGAAAGAGGTGTGTGTGGGAGTGAAACAGGCTGGCAGGAAAAACACTACACACATGGATAAGGTATATCTTATTCAGTAATGGTATGGAAAAGATACAGTATTCTACTAGTGTAACACAGCACATCTTCTGAACCCCAGATGGGCAAAGCCGCAGTGAATCTACGTATAAAATGGTCCATGATAACCACTTCTGTTTTTAACCCCTCCAGATTAACTCAAATTGGCTATTAATTTTATCAACCCAAACAGGCTTAACTAACATAGCAGTAACGGATCCACAGATGAAGATGAATTTGCAATACTTATTGATGTCTGCAAAGGCTCGAGTGCAGCACTAGCTATGCTCCCCATTATAAGCAGAAATTTAAGGAAACAGATTATGAGCTAGATTAACACAATATTAGAAGAGCTTTATAACATCTACTCACTAGCTCAAATCATCTAAAAATCACCCGAGAAATTCATGTTTGCGGCTCGAAGCCAGAAAGGACACTTCTGATAACTCACACGTTGTTGTCCCCTTGGCTCCGCGTGTGGTATGTTCGCCTTCCTGCTGTCTTCCCATTCCGTAATTCCACAGCAGGCAGCTCTTTGAAATAACAGCAGAACTGCTCAATGTTACTATTTTAAAGGGAAGTGAAGAAAATTATTTTTTAAAAAATTTAAAGGATGGTTAAAAAAAGGTTCTACAAAATCTACACAAGAATCCCTTGTCCCTTCCTCCTTCCTCTCCCCTCCCTTTTCATTCCTTCTTCTTCACTCTTTTCAGGGATGCACCAGCACACCCAGTATGTTTGCTGGGGAATTGCCATGGCCTGGTGTCTGCTTGGGGTGCTCCCTATCAACTGAGCTGCACCCCCCCCATCTTCCACTTCTCTCTTTCAGGGTGCTTGTTTCCAGGTATTCAATAAAATAATTCTGAAAGACTCTAAATGCATTTCTAAGCCCCTCAACCCTAAGACATTTTTTCTAAAACCTTACACTCACTCTTTCTTGGAAACCGGAGAGTCGCCCACACACACATGCCCACACACACCCACACCCACACACACACACACACACACACATATGCTGGACTGCTCATCCTACTGTGTCCTTGTGAATAATCTTCAAACGTAACTCCATTCTAAGAATTGAGGCAAAGACAACCCACAGATGTTGACTCAGTTCCTGATGTATTGATTTAGTCACTGGACCAAGGTCAGGATGGACCACAGATGCTCTCCCTTCTCACCTGACCGCGCAGCTATTCTCCTATTCTCCTGCCCTGGAAGAGACCAATCACTACTAGTAGCCCTATGAATACGCCAATCCAGTAAGTTGGAAAACAACCTACAGGTACCCCCTTGTGTCTGTGGCCTTTTGCTTTAAAAGATGGGCTGTAACAGCTATCGGGGGTCCTTCATATCCTGAACCTGAAGGGCCCTGTCATGACAGAATAAAAATCCTCTTGCTTTTGCATCAATTGAGGCTGTTTGAGTGGTGTCTGGAGCAACTCCTCCCTGATGTTTGGACATGTAGTCCAACAATTCCACCAGAGAAAACAAACCATGGAAACAATCTCATTATTTAGATGTGCTGTATAATCATAAGGAAACATTAGCAGTAATTAATTTCTCTGAGGAAAACAGGTGAGAGGGAAGACAAACCTCTAAGATTCAGTGTGGCTCTGCTCTGACTGGGAAGATAACTGACTTCCCCTTGTCGCCTCATTAAAGTCTAAAAGTATAAAATTTTAAAGCAGTTTCTTCCACTGAGATCAGCTCTATTGGCCACTTCCTGTGATGTTCTCATGAAGACTTAACTAGTGGCTGAAAGAAGCTCTGAACCAGGTTCCCTGCAGCCTAGGGTCTACAGATTACAAGCCTATTTATTGACCAGATACATCCCTCAGCCAGGGAAGTTTTATATTTTCAACTAAGTTTTTTGTTTGTTTTAAACTTGTCTTTTCCTTCTCTAACCGGAGTTTGACTATGTTATCCAGGCTTGAGCTGGCAATCTCCCTTGCCTTAGCTTCCTGAGTGGCTGAGATGGTACGTATCTACCATTAACAATCTGCCTTGAGTTTTACATGTTTAAAACCTATTTAAAAAAAAAAAAAAAAGAAAAAAGCTAGGAAATAGTTGAGGGGAATAAAATAGGAAAGAAACATGTAACCATAGCCTAAAATAGTTTCTATCCCATCTTTCAAACAGATGTCCTGATCCCTCCTGTAGTCATTCAAAAATCAAACAGAAATAAGAGCTAACCATGATTTTCTAACAAAAAAAAAAAATGCTTGAAGGCATTTAGACAGATAACATTATTTACTCTTCCCTCCTACTGTGTGAAGTAGGAACCATTAGTAGTGTTTGAGGCAGAAGACAGTCTCTGAACACTTGGTCTGTAGTGTCAAATATGTAAACCTCTGACTGCAGCATTCATTACCTGAGTGACTGAAGGATAGCATTCATGAAACATGTGTTGCCCAAATTCCGGAGGCCTGTGGCACAGATGGCGGTTGCACTTCCCTGTAACATGGAAGAAGAAGCCATAAGCACTGCCGAGGGTGGTTCACTGTTTCAAACACCAACACTAAGCCAAGGTCTCTGCTTGAAACTCTAGTGCCATGCCTGTCTGGAAGCACTCCTTTCCCTCTTCCACCCAGTGAGTACCTCCAGACGGCCTCTCTAGGTAATGTGAGGGAAATACATTTTAAGTTGATACATTTATTTACAAGATCCTACTAAAAATATAAATTGAAAATCACAAACATGCAAACCCCAACTTTTAACTGAAAAGCATATTCAAGTGACAGATGTGTTCCTAGCAATGAGTATGAACCATAAAACACAACCTGAGGCCGGGCAGTGGGGGCGCACGCCTTTAATCCCAGCACTCGGGAGGCAGAGGCAGGCGGATCTCTGTGAGTTCGAGACCAGCCTGGTCTACAAGAGCTAGTTCCAGGACAGGCTCCAAAACCACAGAGAAACCCTGTCTCGAAAAACCAAAAACAAAAAACCAAAAACAAAAAACAAAAAAACAAAAAAAAAAAACACAACCTGAAATTCTTAAAGACAGAGGCTTGGTTCTCTGAAGTTCTACAGATGCCCCCAAGATATATGAATACCAGGAGGTAAATCCTCCAGTCCAACCCAAACATCTCTGCCTGTAATTCAGATGGCTACGACAGCACCTTTGCCATTTAAAACTTTAGGCATATGTCCATTGACAGCAAAGTGTTAAATGCAAGGCAAAAATACTGCTGGGTCATTAAATATGTAGTGACTCTGTTAATTTGAGTGGTTTCCAAAATGAGGATGAATACTTCCATGGTGAAATTGAAGCCCTGAGGCAAACAAACAAAAAACCCTACCAAAAAAAAAAAAGTTCAGACCAATAGAATCTAGGGAACTGTACTCAAAAGAGTTTTATGTCAACTTAACACAAGCTAGAGTCATCAGAGACTGTAGATAAGCCTATAGGGCATTTTCTTAATTGGTGATTGATGCGAAAGGCCAAGGGCAGGTGGTCCTGGTTTCTATAAGAAAGCACTGAGCAAGCCAGAGAGCAAGCCAGTAAACAGCACCCTCCATGGCCTCTGCATCAGCTCCTGTCTCCAGGGTCCTGCCCTGACTTCCTTCCATGATGGACTGTGGTGTGGAAGTGTAAGCAGAACAAACCCTTTCCTACTGTGGTTGCTTTGGTCATGGTGTTTCATCAGGACAATAGGAACCCTAAAACGGGAACATTACCAGAAGGAAGCAGGCTTTCAGCAACACAGAAGATGCCTGAATAAGGACTAAGAGTGAACTGCTTGGACAGGGTGTGCAGGGTGTGGTGAGCCACGCCTTTAATCCCAGCACTAGGAGGCAAAGGCAAGCTGGTATTTTAGTTCAAGGCCAGCCTGGAACTTTCTAGACCAGGCTGGCCAGGACTATATAGTGAAACCCTATCTCAAACAAACAAAAAAACTTTAACTGCTTGCAGAGTGGTAATCACCTTTAATCCCAACACTGGGGAAGCAGAGACAGGCAAAGCTCTAATTGAGGCCAGCCTTGCCTACATAGAGTTCTAGGATAGCCAGGGCTACATAGACCACCTCCAAAGGAGGGGAGGGGTGTTTTATAAGTGGCAAACATTTTTGCAAAACACTTCAAGACACATTAATAAAAATCTAGAACAGGTCAAAGCAGAGTTGTTAGAGCTCTAACAGTGATTAGACCTTAATTCTTGCATAGGAACAATTTTTCAATACTTACATTTACTTTTAATAACTTGCTGTTTAGTGACGAGTTTTCCAATAATTTTCTTTTTCTATGCCTGTCAGCTGTAAAAGCTGAGCTATTAAGATATAAACAAACAGTTAAAAAGACACTAATGAATACATGTTATGCAGCAAGTTAAAGGATAAACCCGAATTGCCCTCAACATCTAAGGTAGAAGCCAGCCTGGCTGCTTTGTGAGGTCATCAAGTGACCAGTCAGGCCCACTAGTATCTGAAGTGATCTGAGACTTTTCACTCCCTGGAAATCTCCACTGCTCCTCCACAGCAGGGGGAGAGCCAATGCTACTCCCAACAATGGTTAGGAGTTGTGGTCAGTAAGATATGCCTTCCTTCCTGACAAGAGACTATGAAGCTTCAAAATTCAGAAGATCTGTTGCTCATGACAAAAGGAAAACCCTGATCTTACACAATGGATAGGAAACTTAACAGCTATTCTCAAATAATATGCTGTTTCTTTCTTTCTTTTTCTTTCTTTCTTGATCTGGAAAAGATGTTGAACTTCAGTTTGCCTCAGTGGACTGCCTTCTGTCCACTGTGAGGCATGAAGCAGCACAAGGACACAGGCATGGATAACCTCACTCATCTGATTTAGTTTTATGGCAAAGGACATTTCAAAATAAATCCTTATACTACACCAGGAAAATCTTTGCTTAAAATTCAGAGTTACTCCCATCCTCACAGTATCGCCTTAAAGTTACCAAGAGAACTATCTGAAGGAATAAAAATTACCACTCAACAGTCCAGGCTTTAAGTCTGCCAATTCTTTTCTAAAATTTGAATTATCAAAGATATACTTGTTTTTCTTTCCATAACTTCATGAACTACAATGTCTTTGGAACATAGGTCTGGTATCAGTTGCCTCAAGCACTTGTGAGCCTTTGGTGACATTAAACTATTCTTTTACCCGTTCTGGAAATGACACAAAACATGCTACTTAGTAAGCATGACTAATATCTTTCAGGCTTAAACTACCTGAATAAAGCATTTGGCTTTTAAAAATACATTTTAAAATATATTTTATACTGTTATTCTCAAATAGTAGAATCCTCTAGACTAGCGGTTCTTAACCTGTGGGTCACAATCCCTTTCAGGGTTCAACAACCCTTTCAGAGGGGTCATGTATCAGATATTTACATTAAGATTCATAACAGTCGTAAAATTAGTTATGAACTAGCAATTAAAATAATTTTATGGTGGGGGTCCCCACAACATGAGGAAGTGTATTAAAGGGGCACAGCATGAGGCAGGTGAGAACCACTGCGCTAGAACTAAACTCTCCAACAGAATGATCACTCCTCGCTATACATAGCTATTTAAACTTAATTAAAATTGAAAATCATTTCTCAGTGACTTAGAGGCTTCTCGGGGCTTCTGTTTCTTGTCACACATAGCCCCATGCTGCTCACCTCCAATGAAAAGAATTAAACGCACTTTGAAAAAGTAAGTAGTCAAAAGATGACACAAGTACCTAGACCCAAAATATTAACTGTTTTGATTCTCCCCTTTCATCTTTATAATCTATTCTGGCAGTGAGATATATGTAACTTTAGTTAACAAAGACACTATACAGTGTTGAAACAGAAGATATTTTTTCCTTTATTATTCTGAAATATTCTACTAGTTTACACTTATGAAATAGAGACACTCAGCTGATATGTTTTCACAATACTTTCAGTACACCAACTGCCAAAATAAATCAGATGGACACGACAATGTGGGTGACTGTGAGGAGCCACCCAGGTTTCATTTGAGTCAGCTGTCATATCCTGTAGCTTCAAAGGCATTGCTATGCGGATTTCTATTTATCGTTTCAGTTCTGGGCCATGGGAGTTTTATCTGAATAAGCAATTTGGCTACAGCAAGACAAGTTTTCAAATAAATTCTTATATTTCCTTAGGTCACAAAGCTCTTTGTAATTTCAAGTTCTATGTACTTTTCTACCGAGAAGAAGAAATTGAGGTCCTATGTTGTGGTTTATTTGTGCAGTGCACACTCAAGACACTCGAACCTAACTTCTCTTTAAATACTGAAATCTGTTTTTCAAAGCAAATCTTCAGTATATTAAGCATAAACTTTTTAATGCCAAATATTAATACAATTATCTTAATGTCCTTTCATGCATCTTCCTTGCAACCATCAAATTCTTTCTTGTGAGTGAACTGAATAGCTTGTAGCTTTGTGGGTAGTAATTTAAAGACAGGCTCTTGGACCTTGGATATGGTTTACAGAAAGTACTGAATGAAATATGGGCAGAGTTTCAGAAATATAAACCCAAGGCTTTGTTTATCAACATTTCAACTGCATTCATATATCAAGCTGGTAACCGAGTGGTCCCTCCCCTTTCCAGGACCCACTACTCACTTTTCCAAGTTCTGTAAGTGTTCTCTCACTTTCTGCACCAGGCCCAGCTTGGTGTCATTGACCACAAAATCGTCACAGCGATAACTGCAAAGAAAATACTAATCAGTGTGTGTGAGAAGCTTGAGGGAAGCACACGAGCAAGCACTGAGATGCCTGACTGCTGCCAGCAGTCACAGGCTCTGCAGGCCACTGTGTCGAGCTAAGCTTAACAAGGACTTGGATTCCACATGGAATGTTCTTAAGAGCCTTCACTTAAAGCCACATAGGCGATGAACACTAGCATATTTTTTACGTTTTTATTTAAAAAGCTCTATAGTGCTTCTTTTGAAATAAGCTGCTTCGTGGGCTACATTTTTTGTTAGTGGAGCTAAAAAGAAAGGGAACAAAAAGTGTCCATTTTCCCCTGGTAGCATTAAACCTCAAGTTTACAATGATACCTCTCAACCCAAATTAATGAGGAATTTGGGGGAGGAAAAACCAAAGTGAAAAGTAGAGAAAAGGTAATCCACTTGTAGGGATATCTGCAGACAAAAACTTAAAAAATCATATTTAACACTTAACTACTAGAAAAAGAATTCTGATGAATTGGAAAAATCTTCCAGTCCTAGCCTGAATCTTTCAGTACAGTGATAAGGATTCAAGAAAAATTGTTTACGGTATTTTTAAAAATGGATAGTATATGTGGCCTCGAGTCAAAAAGTAAATAATACAAGGAATTACATAGAATAAACTTAGACTTGAGCATTAGCATTTAGTTTTTTCCTGGAGGTCAGTTTTAACAAAAACTACTTGTAGACTAGGATTATGTTTTTTTTTTAATTTTTTGCTTTGTTTTTAATATGCAGCTTTGTATGAAACCACTTATTTATTAAGCACCAAAAAAATAATGAAAATAGCATTTTGAGCAAACAAAATTTTTAAAGCTTAACAATTAATAAAAAAGTAGGTCATCTATAACAGAATCTCAAAATATGTCTCATATATATGAAATTAATTGGTAAGAAAGGGAAGTGATAGGAAAATAATTTAAGAAAACAATTACACACAAGCATATGGCATGAAAGCTATTCAAAGCATTGAAAACTTAGTGAATGTGTGTAAAGATTTCTGAGCACACACCCTCACAAACTGACCACCCACACTTGTCAATCAGGATTTCTCTAAGATAACCTACAAGTTCTCAGGGTCAATTCCTGACTTTCCCACAAACACTCAGAGCAAACTTTCACACCCTGGGACTATCGTTCTTTCTAGACTCAAGATGACTACAAGAAGAGGTTTAATTATTCCTCTTCTCAGATTATGTATTAAGGTGGCTTTATCTTTGAAAATCTGTGCTTCAAGCACTTGGTACCTCAGTGAACATTAAGCATTCCCTGAAGAATGAATTACATTTTTATTTCATGTTTCCCATAAATGAATGCTTATCTTTTAGGTAAAACAGCACAAAAGTATTCAAAACAAAAATCACTCCAATTGCCAACATTCACTAGGAGATTCGGTCTAAGAGCATCTTCAGATCACAAGATGCTACCACATGTAATTGAGAAGTAAGCCTCTAACTGCTTCCTGAAGGTTGTTGCTTTGTTCAAAGAAACAAATGGTTTCAAATTAAGTAACTGGTTTGCTTCTTAAAGTATGATTTTTGTTATGACAAGGATTCAGCCTAGGATATAAAATGACATTGGTTAAAGTAATATTTTTACATATTGAAATATACAGTTTTATAATCTTGCCTTGTTCTTAGCCAGCCTGGTTCAAGTAGGTCAAGTCGCTTCCTCTCTCTGAATGAGGCACTCTGCTAAATTGTAGACGGAGCTGTGCTAACGTGGCTAAACACCAACAGAACTGGACTCACTTTCACGAAGTTTCATTAGTGTGTTTAACTTAACTGATGCAGTATCAGACCTTTCCCTATTAGCCACAGCTTCAGTCTATTGAACTGTATTTTGATTTCATCCTTAGAATGGAGGAAATGACAGTGTACAGGCCAAGTGCTTGCATCATTTCTAGCCTTACACAGAACATCACCAATCATGCCAACAGAGTCTGACATTCCAAGGAAACAATGGAGAAATGTAGTATGTTTACATCAGCATGTTGTGCAGATAGCACCAGTTACAGGAATACCTAAGTAAATTATGATTGATAAGCAAACTGAAATATCAAATATAATCATTTCCAAGATTAAGAATGGAGGGGCTGTGGAAATTTGCTGTTCAAGTAAGTGTGAGACCCTAAGTTCATAGACAGCATCCGCATAAAAATAGCATGGTAGTCCAGGCGGTGGTGGCGCACGCCTTTAAACCCAGCACTCTGTGAGTTTGAGGCCAGCCTAGTCTACAAGAGCTAGTTCCAGGACAGGCTCCAAAGCCACAGAGAAACCCTGTCTCAAAAAATAAATAAATAAATAAATCTTTTTGAAATAATAAATTACACAAATAAGAATTTTTCAGAAAATGGATTTTAACATAAAAAGTTCCCCTTAGGTAAAAAATAAATAACTGAAGAAATTAGCCTCAACCAATGACTTCAGAAAATAAGATGATTTTCAGAGGGCATGGAGCACCAATTAGTTATCCAATACCAAGTGATAAGCCCTGAGATCATATACATACTTAGCAATCCATATTTATGTATTTAGGAATACACATACATATGCACATATGTATATATGCAACAATTAAAGAAAAAGAGGCCATGAATTTGAGAGAAAACAAAGAGACTGCACGGAACAAGTTGGAGGGAAAAAAGGGAAATGCAGAAAATGATAGATAGGAGTATAATTTCAAAAAATAAAGTTATTATTAAAAACCAGAAAGAGGGACTGGAGAGACGGCTCAGAGGTTAAGAGTACTGGCAATTCTTACAGAGGTCCTGAGTTCAATTCCCAGCAACCACTTAGTGCCTCCCAGGTACCTATAATGAGATCTGGTGCCTTTTTCTGACATGCAGGTATGCAGGCAGGCAGAAAACTGTATACAGAATATATAAATCTTTATTTAAAAAAAAAAAACAGTAAGAGGTACTGAGGCTGGGCATTAGTGGTGTGTATCTTTAATCCCAGCCCTCGGAGGCAGAAGCAGGCAGACTGGATCAGAATGAGACCAGCATGATCTACATACTGAGTTCCAGGTCAGCCCAGTCAGGGTTACATAGCCATGGATGGATGGATGGATGGATGGATGGATGGATGGATGGATGGATGGATGGATGGATGGATGGATGGATGGATGGATGGATGGGTGGGTGGGTGGGTGGGTGGGTGGATGGGTGGATGGATGGATGGATGGATGCAGGGTAAGAGGTACTACTCAGTTGATACTTGGGTGTGCTGTGTCTCATATTATGCACAATTTTACATAAAAATACCTTCATTTATCAGCAACCTTAACAAAAAATTGATCTCAGATAAGAGCTCTTAGCCTAGCAGTGCAGTGCCTCTCTGTGGTCCCAGCATTTCAAAGTGAGACAAATCAAAATCATGCTATCAACATTTTAAGATTTGTTTTCACGATTGTCACTTACAGATAGATAAGAAAACTTTCTATCAAGACAGTGTTCTATCAGAAATCTGGATTTCTTAATAGTGTTTCCCTTTTTAGTTTGTTCCACCATGATGTACTTACCGCAAATATCTGTGATCTCCAATCACCTATATATCATGGTGGCAGTGATTAAAAGTGTTTAGGATAAATACACAAATGTGACTCATCACAGTTTACAGAATTATCAAAATAAATAGAAGATATTGAGTTAATGACCACTTATTTTCTGCCAACATTGGCTGTTTGAGTTGTGGAAGAGTTTACCAATGCTTATCCTGATGTCAGTCAGACAAAGAATGTTGACAGCCACCCACATCTAAGGCCAGCAGTCAAGAGGCTAAAGCAGGAGAAACATGATTTGGAGGCCGGTCTAAGCTACACACCAAGTAACAATAATAATAATAAAGCACAGACTTTAACTGTATCAGCATTATGTAAACTTGCAGAACTTGAGAAAAATGTGAAGGATGACTATGTTCATGCAGATACACTGAGGTGAGTTTTAGTTTGCAGTGTGCCATTTGAGATAATACAAGTTATTACGAGAGTTCATGAATTACTTGAACAGATGTATCTAATTTAGAAAATTTCAAATCTAAATAAAATCAACTGCTCTCATGAGTCAGTTTTCCCATCAATATAAATGCAATTAAGAGAAAAAAACTTGGCACCCCCTTATTTTAATAATATATGAAATAGTATGACTCTACAAGTTAATTTTTTTTATTTGACTTTCACTTACTCATTTACTGTGTTTCTGTATGAATGTATGCGACAACCATGTAGTAGAACAACAGGCAAACAGACTCTCTCTTCCCACCATGTAAGTCCTTGGGATCAAACTCAGGTGCCAGCCTTGGTAGTAAGGACCCTTACCCATTGAGCCATCCTGCTGACTCTGACTCTACTTCCCCTTTAATTGAAAATAGATTTTCAGGCCAGGTGGTGGTAGCGCGCGCCTTTAATCCCAGCACTTGGGAGGCATAGGCACTTGGATCTCTGTGAGTTCGAATCCAGCCTGGTCTACAAGAGGCGAGCTCCAAAACTACAAAAACCCTGTCTCAGAGGGAAAAAAAAAAGATTTTCTTCTCACATATTATGATCGTTTCCCCTCCCTCTACAGCTTCCAGTTCTTTTCCACCGCCTCGCCCATTAGATCCGCTTCCTTTCTCCCTTTCAGTAGAAAACATTTCTGAAGGATAATAATAAAATAAAATATAATAAAGCAAAAACTATCACATTGGAATCAACAGAACAAACCAAAGGAAAAGAGCTCAAAAGAATGCACAAAAATCAGAGACCCACATTTGCACACTCTGGAATCACATAAAAACACTCAACTGGAAGCCATTTAATTCATATGCAAAAGACGTGTAGGGTAAAAAAGGGTGGATATATATATACACACACACATATATATAGTATATTTAAAAGTATTTTTTAAAAAAACAAAAATGAAAAACTCCAACACAACACTGTGAGAAAAGGACCCTCCAAAGATGCTGTTGAGTGCATTTTCTATTGGCATCTACTGCT